GGCTGCTCCTGTATTTGGTGTGGAAGGAGCCGGGCGATTGGCTCCAAGAGGAGGACGCCGGGAGCCATGCCGCAGCTTTCCGGCGCCTCGCCAACGACGTGGAAGGGCACCCGAACTTCCTCAAATCCAACTGCTTCCCCCAAATGGATGGGACCCTCGAAGCGGCCCGGAAGCTGCAGGCTGTGCAGGCCACCATGTACATGAAGGCGAAGATTCACCCGGCGCACCTGCGAGATGGATGGGCCAACAGCAAAGTGGCGCAAGACAATTACGAGGATTCCTTGAAGGTTCTCGAGGCATTAAAGGAGCGGTACGGCGACGAGATCGATTTTACTGCCCCGGATCATGTGCCAACCGGCGCGGACGCCGATGCCTTCGCTCCAGTGGAAAAGGGGCAGGAGTCCTTCGAGAAGCTCACCGTGGAGAACCCGAGCCCCGACACCAAGCACCAGCGGCACGCAATGGAACACATCATCCAGGAAGTACTGAGCCGCCCCAACACCAAGGACGGCAGCAACCCGGAGCGCTTGCACATGTTGCTCCACGGTCCCGGTGGCTGCGGAAAGTCGGTCGTGATCCGTGCTGCAGCGCACATGCTGAGGCAAGGGGGCGTGGGAGTGGTCATTGCGGCGCCGACAGGCGTGGCGGCATGGAACATCAACGGAGTGACGCTCCACGCTTGTTGCTTGCTTCCCGTCGTCAACAAGAGTTATGGAAAGCCCGGGGACGTCCCCCCACCGAGCGGTCCGCTGCTAGCGACATTGCGAAGCATGTGGAGGCTTGTGTCTGCATTGTTCGTGGACGAAATGAGCTTCATCTCCTCCTTCATGCTCGAACGCCTGGATCAGCATCTTCGCCTCGCACGGGACATGCCGCATCTTCCGTTCGGAGGTGTGCACATAGTGTTTGCAGGGGACCTGTACCAGCTGCCTCCGCCTGGCGGTCATCCACTTTTCAAGAGCCAGCTATGGCTGCTGTTTCGGCTCTGCGAGCTTCGTGGGAACCAGCGTGCAGCGAAGGATCCCAAGTGGGCCGCTCTTCTGGCACGAGTTCGATTTGGCAAGTGCACAGAGGAGGACCTCAAAGAACTACGGGACATGGTGGTGAAGCCGAACAGCAGCAAACAGCCCGCCCCCAAGGCAGTGCATCTGTATGCCACGCGCCGGGCCGTAGCAGAAAGCAATCGCACGTACCTCGAGGAGCACATCAGCAGAACCAACGCTCGTCTTTACGAAAGCCCTGCCTTGGACGTGAGCGTCAGAACCGGAG